TTTTTATTTTTGAAAACGACAACCACACAGATTCACAAAATATATAAAGTAAAAAAGCATTAAAGGAAAAGGCTACACCTATTATTTAAAAAGAAAATTCCTAAAAAGGTACTTTTCGCAATCATTAATCAGAATATTTTCGTCATCATCTTTTTCCTAGCACTAACGAAGTGAGTGGTGGCGCTTCCACGGCATCTTCTTTCCTCCTCCCGTCCCGGCGGCGATCCGGGTCTGGACCTTCTCAAACTCCGCAAAACGGCACGGGATCGTGATGCCGCCCTGTTGGTTGAATCCGTATTCCTCCTCAGCCTCCCTCAATAGCTCACCAAACAACGGATGATTAAAGTAAAACACAGGAACCAACACCCTGTGAAAATCTCCGTCTTTTTGTCCCACATAAACTGCCAAATATCCTTTTGGTACAGTCCCTTGGGTTTCCTTGACCGGTTCCTCCCCCACCCGCACGTAACCCGTCCCGGGGTTTGCCGTGCAGATGAATTTGGCTCCGCTTGTCAAACGGCGGCCCCAGCTGATGAGCTTGGAAATGGGGTTTAACGTGCACGCTGTTTTCAGTGAGCCCAAACGTCGGTACCCGGATGCGCTCCTGGACTTTCGGATTATCCATCTGGAGATCCGACATAACCGTTTCCCGATCTTGAAACCTCTTATCTTCCTCATGGTCTGTTGTGTTATTTTGGATGCTTGTGGTTTGTGTTTTTTTCAGTACAGAGAGTTGGGTTTTGTAAGAATTCAGTTGGGGTTTAGGCAAAGGGCCATGGATCGGCTATGGACATGGTCAGACGAAATAGTGTAAGGCAAACTTCAGAAAGAGACGTTGGAATGTTCGACATCCTTAGCCCTCTTTCCCCGACGAGTATTTCATCCAAAATTTTCACTCAGATTTTTCTCAAACACCCTCTTTACAACTGAAACGACTCAGACCCTTTTTTATTCCAGTTTCCCGGAAGATGGTGATAACCACCGACGGAAGATTTCAACTTTTAAAGAAAAACAAAAAAAACAACAAAGAGAAAGAAATTTGGAGGAAATAGGATTTCGTGAGGGGCCTGACGACGGCGGTGCCCACGGGATGAGATGAGCTGCAATCGTTGGAAGAAATGGAAGTATGGTATTAAATAGGGAGGAGATGGAGTGGCAAAGGAAGTTTACATGAAAGACGTGTAAGATTTGTGTTTTAATCAGGACCGTCGATCTGGCCGGTTTTAATTTTCCAATCTTGACAGGCATTGACTTTCTGGGTTTAGAATGACCAAAAACATCACCACTAATTAAACTGATTTATCCCAAAATTTGGAATGGGTCGCAGTGTACGTCTCTTCTGGGAAACTGTCCGAGGGAGCCACATAAGTTGAAGAAAAGAACAAAAAGAGAAGAAGTCTGAGGTGATTCTAATGTCGTGCGGCTATTTTTATAATCTTGTGATTGATCTTGTGTCGGGCACGTGGCATCAACGGGACTCGTTAATCTACCGAAAGGTGCGATACGTGTTTTCATATCTGGCCGTCCTTGACCGGAATATTATTTCTTGTGTTGGTTCGGGAGATAATCTTTTTTTTTTTTTTTTTCGTTCATTATTTTATTTTATTTGTTTGTCATATAATTTAAGTTTAAAATTTTTTAATTTTGAAAAAAAATTATTATTAAATTATTTAAATAATTAATTTAATAAAAATATTTTACTATTATTACTATTACCATCACGGCGCAAGATTATTGGCCACAACAAATTGTTGATGGTGAAAGGTGCAAACTTTTTGCCTAAAATTGTTCGAGAGTTGGAAGTAAATAGCTATTCTAAAAAAATATATATTGGTGTAATTTATTACTTAAAATTTTTATTTTTAAGAGATTAATTTATATTTAATGGTTATTGTTGATTTTTTTTGTTAAATTTTAAGAATAATAACTTGATAGAATTGAACAATACTCATTAAATATGAATTAATTTTTTTAAAATAAAAATTTTAAATAATAAATTGTATTAACAATTTTTTAAGTAGCAATTTATTTCAACAAGATAACTTGGGGCATAATTTGTATATTTTGACGATTGTTGAGTCATACAAATTTTAAAATATAGTTTTTATTTATTTTGATTGTTAAAAATAATTAATAATTAGAATTGCTAATTGCTAATAACAAAGTAATTAATATTTATTATTTACAAATTAATATTTTTAAAGATTATAACTAATTCTTTAAATAAATTAACTTGTGTCTTAATTACTCTCTAACTTCTTATTTGCTTTGAAAAGAAGGAATTTCATTTTTCTTCACTTCTCTCCAACTAAGTTAACTATATATTTTTAAATGAGTGGTGCTATTGGGATAATTTTTTTATCTTATTTTTTTATACAACTTTTACATATTATTAAATGAATGAATGCATTTAATATCATGAGTCTTACGTGAATTAAAAAAATTAATTATTTTAATTATAGGTCAAATTATAAAAAAAAATGAGATAAAAAGATTGTATAAATATCATTTCTCTTTTTAAATTATGAATAAGTTTATACAACTATAACAATTATAAGAAGTATATGCCCCCTCTGAACCCAAAAAAAATAGGGAGAAGAATGAGAAATATATGCTCATGATGGATAATTTTGAACATTGATAAAGTGAGGAAGCGGAATAATAATATTACAAAGAATCAAACCATAGAATGAACCATGATCAAAAGGGGCGCACCCTACCAGTGTAGCTGATGCCGTATTTTTGAGGGTGTTGTTTCTTGAACGTTCTTCTCCATTTCCACATCATATCATTATTATACCTTAGTCTCTAGAATTAAATAAAATAATAATTAATAAATTTATCAAAAAATATAAAAAAAAAATATTATCAAAATAAGCATAAAAAATTTATTTATTTTAAAACGATTCATACTTTTATAGAAAGTAAATCAATCGGTGCAACAAAAATATATATGACATGTCGCCCTTAAAATGCTACAATTTTATAATAATACTCTATGAATTTGTATTATCCATAAAATCACTTTACTAAAAACACTATTATTTGCCTAAAAACATTTAAAAGATAAAGTAAGGTCAGAAAAATAAGAAAATGTGAAAGAACATATTTTTTGAGCAAAAAAACATATTATATTTATAAGACTCGTAATCTTATAATTTTTATTTGTAATGATAGAAATAAATTAAGTAATTATTATAAAATAATATATTTTTAAATAAGATAATTAACTTATACTGATTAATTTAACTAAATTCTTAATTAAATAATAACTTTAATTTTTAAAATATATTATTTTATTTTTTTATTAAAATATTTAAATTTCAACCGAACGTGCACATTTATAAACTCTTTTCAACCCGAGCAGTTATTATAATAATCAGAAAGTATTGTCCTTAATACTTACCGACCTGGACGGGGTCATAGCCTAGTTTGGTGCCTTCCATTGTACTTCAACGATGCACCAATCTATAGGTCAGTCATTTATTTTCCCCTCCATTTAGCTAATATTATTGACAATGACGTAATGTGGTATAAGATTATTATAATTTGAATATTTTTTTAGAATTTAAAATAATTTAAATTATAAAATGTGTTATTAAATAAAATAAAATTTTAATATTAAAATATTTATTTTTATTTAATAATTATAATTATATAATTTAAATTATTTTTTTTGTAATTTTAAAGTCATAATATATCGAGTGAAATATTTACAATATAATAACCTTTCGTACGGAACCGGTCGTACTTTACGGCATCCATAAATTTGCGCAGCCTATAAAAATTGTGGGTCCATTTAGCGCAAGTAGCACTGAAAAATTCAAAAAGCAGCCGGCCCATTCAGGCGCCTGGCCACATGGATGAACAATTACAAATACGGCTGATCGTTGGGTACGAATGTACCCATTATTTGCACACATCTAACCCTTTTTTCTTTTTTTTTTAACAGTTTATAATTTTTGGGATGAGAAATAGAGATTTTTAAGGTGATAGAGCATTTTTTAAATTGTTGGTGAGATTTGAAATTATTATTAATTTAATTTAAATGTTTAATGATTTGAAGTGAATCATTTGGATTTGAAGATTCGATTTGTATATATCTAACTTATTTGAATAAGTATTATACCTAAATTATAAATAAAAATAAGTAATAGAAATAAAATAATATATTTATAAATATTGAGTCAAGTAATAAATATAAAAATTTAAAATTATTTATTTGATTTATCTAACATATTTATTATTTATACTTATATAATTAAAATTTTATATGTATTTTATATACTTAATATTTATATAATAATAATATTTTTTAAAAATAAAAGTTAAATAAGACATATAGGTTAAATTTTACATGTAACAGTAATAATTCATATAAATAATAAATTTTAAGTCAAA